GATAATCGATAGGAATGAAATAGAAATTCTGATTGCAGTTATAAGAAATTTTACGGCTTTACGATTACAATAAAGTCTCGTTACAACTTTATTGAATCATTGAATTAACTTGGATCTATTGAATTTAATATATTGAAATTTCGTTATATGTCCTCTATCCATTTATCGATATTGGCATTGGCGTCCAATTAAATTTCATGATTTGAGTATATCGGTGTTTGCTGTAACGAAAGCGACGAATAAATTACAAAAATTCGCAACACGATTAAAATTAAAAGTAAAATATCATTTTAGACGATGAAATGGTGAACTCTAAAATCCGATGATGTCATTCAACGGCATCATATCTAAGAAATGAAGCGCTGATTAACATGTACAGTTTGTAACGGTACCGTAAGGTACATGACATGCTACTTGAGATCTCATGTTCGACATGCATTTTGAATTATCTGCGGTTAATGACGGAAAGTCTTAAATGTGCCAAGCCGAACGATTTTATGCATGTTTAACCGCATAATTGCAAATTAGACAAGAGATAAGATCTCGTATTTTGTTGAAGATGCTGGAATAATGATACAACTTATAGCGTCTCTAACCAACGAATAAGTAAAAGATTAATTCAGGTATTATCTTCTTTGTTTGTTTAAGAAAAAATTTTAGACTTCATTGAAGGCGATTTCTATCTGTCATTCAATAAGAAATTTTCAAACTTTATTTACGCTCAACTTAACGTTTAAACATATGTATTATTTTTTTAAATCTACCGCTTACTATGTTTATCTTGTAACTGTTTACAATTCATTTACCGCGGCAAAGAGAACGGCCTGTCGATCGAGATTCTTTCCGGGAAAGCAATATTATCCGCGGATATCGCGCGATGGGCGTAACCTCAAAGAATTGCGTCATTATCAAGAATAATCCGCGACGAGAAGCCATGAATAAAATTAATGTAATGGTAGACGAACCGATATTTAGCTGTTGTCAACTTTTTAATTCATATATTTTTTTTATTTATTGCTCCGAAAGAAAATTTGACTTCTTTTTTCAAGAATTTTTTTTTGTTTTCAAGCTTTTATGAGATATATCACAATTAAAAGGCTTTTATATTTATAATAGTTATTCTAAAGTAAATTGTAAATGTATAAAGTGCTTGAGTTGATAAATCCGCTTTTAAGGTTTCTGTTTTATTCGAAAAAATAATTATTTCTCTTGCTCTTTTATATAATATTTAAATATTTAAATATTTGCTTACCCAAAGAGCTCGTAGCCAGCATCACACGTGTACCTCGCTACGGTGCCGACCGTCAAGGATTCGTCAGACAACGACACCTTGGCGTTCATCGGCACGGCCGGATGGCCGCACTTTAGTCCTGTAATCAGCAAAATTACGGACGTTTAGTCGTTTGAAGGCAAGCCGCGGTCGATGGCATATCGCCGATAAAAATCGAATTGTGATCGCGTAACCGGCCATTATGTTTGTAATTTGCGCGAAACCATTTATGTGAGTTCCCAGCCTTGCAGATACATTAGATTCTGGTTTGCAGGCAAGAGTCATCCCAGTAATTACATTTAAAGTTTTCAATGTTTTAGGAGATAATCTTGGGAAATCATTTTGTTCTATCAACCAAGCAGAAAGTTAATATAAAAAGATATTCAAATAATTGAATTTGAATTACATTTTTAGTTTTATTAAGAAAATATTTCTAATTAATTTAAATTTTGTCAAAAAATGTTAAAATATTTTTTACACATGGACACAATTCGAAAGGAGGATTTTCTTAATTCTTTACTAACTTTTGTATTGATTCTTCAGTGCCACGGTAATGTTTGTGAAGCCGTGACGATTTCAACACGACTTTTATCGATTGCAGTACTTTTTCGTGTTCATCCATGACGTTTGATAGGCCGAATTTTCAGGGCATGACGCGGATCGAGTCGATTCAATGCGAGTAAGATTATCGGTCGGTCATGCACGACGAGGCAGACGGCAGTCACACTCACATCGGCAATTTAAATAATCGCAAGAACCCGTTAGAACGATCTCTAAGGAAATTCTCTAAAGAAATGCATCTGAAATTGCTGCACGCGTTGATGCCATTATTTAAATTACTGACTTGAAAAAGACCCACATTTAGAAATCAAGTTTTATTGCAAATATTCAATTTTAATAATCGTTTTTACATATAGTGAAATTATTTTCAATATTTTTAGATTTTTCCATAAATTATTTGTTAATTAGTAAACTCAGACCTGTGATTTCTCGTTCGGACATTACTTTGCGAGTGAATCGGACGGACATTAGAGGAGCCTTGGACGAAATCCCACGCGAATTCCATTATCTCTGACTTTTACAACTTCTACAACTTGTGTTGAGTTACGTTCACGCAATAGAAAAGCGCAGCGGTAATTATCTATTATTAAGTCTTTGTATATTTTGCTTTAATCCACTCTTAAAAGAGGTAGAGTCGAATTAAATGTTATTGTTTTAATACAATTGTTAGATGATTAATAATCTGCATAAATAATTGCTTTTGCATTTTAGACAACATTATTGTAGTGTTTGAACTTTTTAAAATTCAGAATGATTATTTGTGATTTAAAAGCAAGCGAGCAAGTTTTGAGATATTTTGTACATTACGGTTAACTAGGCAACATATAAAATATCTTTGATTGAAATCCGTTGATACGCTGGCAGAAAACTTTTTCTTCTCGGGGAAAGTCTATCGGGTCGCGATGGAAACACGCCAAAGGCTAGCAATTTATGTCCCGAATCGCAGGATGTGAAATTCATTGCTTGTATTTCTGTAGGAAAATCTTTCTCATCATCGACGCGCTTTTTCGCGTGTTTTTCTGAGCGCGCTTAAACGCGAAAGTCCCTTTCTCGTTTTCTCAATTTCATGTTATTCTTTTCGTTGCCGTCACAAACATTTTCACGTCTATTCGATTTTCTTTAACCCTTCGTGGCATA